TAAAGCCGAGCAGCATGAAGTCTTAATTACTGAGACTTACCACCGGCCAGCTCCGCGCTCACGCTGCGATGGTCAGGAGTTGGAGGCCGTCACCCCTCTGGCTCCAGAGGAAGGAGAGACGACTGACAGCCGAAAGCAAAACAGAACTTTTTCACTGTTTCTGTCAGCAGGAGGGAGGAAACAAAAAGGTTGGTTAAACTCAAATCCCATTTCTGGATTGTTAGGTGAAAGTAATGGTTCTTCACCGTGTCGGGAAGATGCAGATTTCCTGTTACCTTTCCTTCTTGTATCCCGTCAGAGTGAACCTTCATGCTCACTTATTATCAGCGGGAATGATCCCAGGTTTCCTCCCTGCAGAGCAATCACATGTTGATGCTCGCTGTTCGGATGAAAGAGGGAGGTTATGCTTTCTGGGGAAAAAAGAAAAACAAATGATGGAAACTTCTGGGTTCATTATTTTAAAAAAAGATGATTGCAACATTAATATGTTGGACAGATTCCTTTGTTGTTGTTTTTTTTTTCTTTTTTAGCAGGTAGAGCTAAATTTGCAGTGGTTGTTATATTCCACACCAGTGGTGGACAAGGTGTTTGATGCTAGTTGTCAAATATTACTCCAACAAAAGTAAAAGCTCTGTCAAATTAATACTTAAATACTGAAAGTACTTAAAATTTTGACATTTTTTTTAAACAATTCATTTCACTTGAGTTTAGTCTAGGTAATTGGGAAGATTTTCTGCTATAATGGACAGATCAGTAACTCCACATTCATAATAATAACGCATTAGTCTTTTATAGAGCTTTTCTCGGTGCTCAGAGATGTTTTACAATTTCACTTGCTTTATTTATTCACTCCTCAGTCGCACCAACATGTGTATGCTAGGGGAAGTTGGGTTAAGTGTCTTGCCCAGAGACACAATTGAACATTTCACGTTGAGTTTTTTAGATATTTGTAATAGTTGTACAAGTTTGCTGAATTGGAAATTACAGTATTTTTTATTTGTTACAAAAAACTTGAAACACTTATGTACAAATTAATTTGACAAAATCTATCCATTAATAGAACAAAGGGATTAAAAGTTTAAAATGCTGTAACTTAGGTTGAGTCCATAGAACAGGGACTAATCAGGACTTAAAGACCCACAACAAGCAGAAACATGTCTATATCTATACGGCAGCACAAGTTGGACAAAAAAATCTTCTTGTCCTTCTTCTTAAAACTGGTTTTAAGCTGCTTATGAACACCTACTATGGCACAATATGAGGGCCAAAATTAAGACTGTTGCACAACCAGTGGTTGCTACATCCTTTCTAAGCCAGCTATTGATCCGATTAATGATTGGCCGGCACCGGTAACTGAGAGGCCGGCACTGGCAAATAAAGGAGATTCATTTGCGTTAGAATCGGAGAGGCTAGCAACTAGAATGGATAAGCTGGCGTTAGCATCAGAGAGGCTAGCGACCGGACAAGCTGATGTTAGGATTAAAGAGGCTAGCGACAGGCATGCTTATGCTAGTGACCAACTGGACTGCCAACTCCCTTCACTGTCCATTAGCATGGATGAGCTGGCGTTAGCATTGGAGAGGCTGGCAAGTAGCATGCCTAGGCTGCTCACCTACCGAAACTGGCTTTTTGAATAAAGAAAACTTTCTCAAAAATTGTTGACATACAAAAGTAACTAAAGCCTTCAGAGAATAAGGAGTAAAGTATGATTTTGTTGTTAAAATGTAGTGGAGTAAAAAAGTTTTCTATAAAATGTTACTCAAGTAAAGTACAAATTCTCAAAAATCGTGTACACTAACTAATTAATTTTGTTATTGCACCCTGCAGTTATAAAACAGTTGTAACTCCATCAAGGCAGCAGGCAACATGATGAAGTCCTGAGAGATGATATTTAACTCAATATATTTCTTATTTGTGCTTGTTGGAAGTTTTAGTTCTGCTGAGTAAATAAATAAAACCTGGGCTGGTTTGAACTCCACATCCCTCTGTGCAGACAGAGCTCTTTTCCTTCCTAATTAGCCAAATATCCGTGAGTTTCCTGTGGTGATATCAAACAAACGTCACGAGGCATTCTCCTTTTGGCTGATGTACGTGTTTGTTCTTGTGTGAAAACCTCCCGGGGCTGTTGTTACCGTTTCGAGTCCCGTCAGCAGCTGTGAAGATCAGGGGTCTGGTGGCCGTGAAGATACACTTTCATTTCAGCGCGTTAGTAATTCCACAGCGCAATAAAACCGTCTGGCCCATGCGTCTGGCTCCAGTCGGACCAACTTTACTCACCAAAAAAAAAAAAAAAAAAAGAAAATGCCCCGACCTTGTCTCAGTTATTAAATGGAATGTAAATCTCTGCGTGTTTTTGTTTCCTTCTGGATTTTTACTCGTCGTTGCCAAAGACAGAAGCAGTAACTATACTCAGGGCAGGAATCATGGGTTGGGATAAGGGAGTTTCTCTTCAGTGAAGCAGGTCACCAGCGGGGTCAGAGGTCAATGTGGCGTGGTCAGCTGTGTTTATATTGTCAGAGCTGCTGCAGCTCCACGCAGAAAGGACACTGTCTCACAGCTGGTTTTGGTTAACTTTTCAAAAATAGACAAACTTCAATGACTGATTTATCAAACATTCAATACAAAAAATTAGAATTAAACAACTTGCTGAGCTAAAGGGTTATTTTAAGCCTGTTATTGAGATACGATTAGTTATTTGCTGATAAGAGAGAAACATGAGTCCAGTAGGTCTGTGATTAATGCTGTCCGATTTTTATTTTTATTTTTTTACATGTTAAGTCATAAAGTAGTCTGGGAACCAGACGGTTTAGAGACCTCATGTTCCGTTTGATTTGGCAGAAGGCTCAGGCCCTCCTCCTGTTAAAACAGATTTCCCTCCATTCTTCCTGTTCCCAGTCCTCCAGGAACAGATCAGATCCAACAGTTTCTGCTCTGTCGTGTGGATCTGATGGAGTAAAGCTGGAAAGAGGTCGGTCACTCACAAATAATCACTGGTTATTCAAGTTCATTATTTGTAATTCTTATTCTATGATGTAATTTTTTATGTGCATGTTGTTTCAATGTTGTCTGTTTATTCATAGTTTGGGTTTTGGTTGTCATTTTTTTTCTAAATAAAAAAGGCAGAAGCAGTATTTATATGTAACTTGACAGTGAAGGGATTGTGGGACCTGCAGGCAGGGGCACCACATAATGTCTTGCCCAGGGTGCCAAAGTGTCTAGGGCTGGCCCTGCATAGGTCCAGTTTATTACAAACATCTCAACAACAAAAAGATGCGGTTCAGCATATTTTAAATTAATTAAAAATCTTTAAAGTACATGGTCTGAATAGAGAAACTGCATTTGTTTTGTAAAATTAGGAGTGAAAGCTAAGTGCTAAATATATTAGCACAGCTAAAATAATCAAAACTGTGTAACCTCAAACTGGTGAAAATGTAGCTAAAAGCTAACTCTAACAAACTATAACTAAAAGTTTAAAATGACCGAAATGGTAGCTTAAAGCTAAAAACTAAAACATACCAAGTCTGCTAAAGTAAATTTCAAGGAAATTAATGTTTTTGAAGGAAATGTAAAAAATCTCCATGAGTATATAAGGTGTAAAAGTCACAAATACTTAGATTCGGACTGTTCCCAAACCAGCTGTAATGTTGTGATCTGTAATCACCAAGATACCGTGTTTCAGACGGTGTCATGATTTGTAATTACAGGATCAAAACATGAGCTCACAGGAGTTGGGCAGATGTGAAACAAGGAAACTTTATCCCACTGGAAGAGGAACAAACCGGAAAAGGCTGCACAAGCAGAAAATGTAAATCCAAATAACAGTCAGAACTGAACCAGGCCAGAAACTAGGGAAAAAAAAGTGGAAAAAAAGGAAAGTAGTGATATTATACAGAAAAATATGATCATGTCCAACCAGCTGCAGATCATTAACAGATCACATGTAAAAAACAACAACAGTTCAACACTAAACAGAGAAAAATGCACAATTAAACAAATAGGAAACACAAAGCAATAGCTTTATAAGCACCAAATGTTCGACGGAACAAGATTAAGTTGAACAAAACCAGGAGGTTTCAGAAAAGCTACCAAAGCAGCAGAAGAATCAAAGAGAACTTGGTGTCCACTGAACAAAACAAAGAATAAATCAAACAAATGAGACTTGAGAACAAAACGAAACAACAGATCAAGTTTCTTAAAGATCCTTTTGCTGAAGGCAGGATAAGAGCTGTTTAACACTCATGACTTAAACTTAAACTTGACTTCATATTTGAATCTGAGCAGCAGCGACATTCAATATAGAAAATATAAAACCCAGTAAGGACCTCAGTTTCCTTATTACAGATCCATTTCATGCAGTTCGGCCTGAAACCGGACCCTCAGATATTAACTTTACTTCCTGTTCCTGAGCTCCGAGAGACCTCCTTGATATAAAAAAGAACGAAGCAAAACGTGTGTTCGATTAATTCAAGCTTTGATCAGCCTTTTCACTCAAAATGTTTTTTAAACTCGCCATGTGTTTCTGTCTGACATTCTTCAGCCACACTCGTGTCGTCATGTCCTTTCAAAGACGAAGCCACAAAGCAGGAGTCCATAACGTCACATGTTTGACTTTTCATGCTTGTGATGTACGAGCTCTTGCTCGGCTGGGTTTTAAACGTGCTTGAGAGGATAGCGGCCTAACGAATGCCGGTCACACCCACAGGCAGGAGATTCACTCAACATCACGAAGCGGAAACAGAAAAGCTGAGCCAGCGTCGATGTGATGAAGGTCAGGCTGTGCGTACCTGGCAGAGGCAGAGAGGCAGTGTTGGACACAAATCAAGCTTCTTCCTGGCTGGAAACTCAAATCTACAACGTGTGTTGACAAATCTGCGCAGACACTGTCTCCGGTCGTCGAATGTTCAGAAATAAAAGAAGAGTCGTTGAATGTTGGATGTGTTGACGTGGTCTGACGCAGGCGGAGCTGCAGGAATGCACTGGATGGAGGCGCCACAGGGATCCCTTCCCTCGGTTCGTGTTTGTTTGCACCCGTTAACAGACTGAGACTCACCTCAGGGACTGGATGAGTTATCAGGAACACGTGCGTTCACACGTACACGCTGCAGGCTTCAGCTGATTTAGGGTTAATTCGATTTAACTGATCGCACGATGCTGTGAATTCTGTCAGCTGCACGTCACAATTAAACTGCATCTCAGTTTGTCATTATGTTGCAGAGCAGTCATGGAATAACACTTATTTTACTTCAACAAAAGTTATTACAAAGTAGAAGCCCAAAAAGAGTGTTTATTTTTGTAGTTCGTTTACCTTTGAAAACAGCTGAAGTGACTGAAAACGGGTCAGGTTTACAGCTCCTACTTGTTTACTTACAAAGTACGAGCAGCCTAATCAATCCTGTGACTCAGGATTCTACGTGGTTTTTGGTGGATTTGGCCACATGCTTTGTTTACACTGAGTGCAGACCCGCAACTCAAATTTGCATCCAATACAGCGGGTAAAATAAGTATTGAACACGTCAACATTTTTCTCAGTAAATATATTACTAGAGGTGCTAATG